GGAAACTTTTATTGCCAGCACTATTAGAACAAAAAGACAAGAGCAGTGATTTTCTTGCTTGTGCAGTTCAGCAGCATTTGCCAAATCATTATTCTCTATTGTCCTTGGTTTTGTTGATCTTTCAGATGGGGACAAGCAAGTGAAAATGTAATGAGCCAGGAGCTCTTAAGATTTGAGAAATGTAAGCCTGATGAATAGAATAGAATAAATGGACTATTTTAGTTGGAAGGAACCTACATCAATCATCAAGTCCAAGTGCCTGACCAATTCAGGGCTGACCAAGTTAAAGCATGTTATTAAGGGCATTGTCCAAATGCCTGTTAAACACTGACAGGCTTGGGGCATTGACCACCTCTCTAGGACACCTGTTCCAGTGTCTGACCACCCTCTCAATAAAGAAATGCGTGCTGATGACCAGTCTAAGCCTCCCCTGGCACAGCATTGAACCATGCCCATGCATCCTGTCACTGGATACAAGGGATAAGAGATCAGCACCTCCCTCTCCACTTCCCCTCCTCAAGAAGCTGTAGACAGCAATGAGGTCGCCCCTCCACCTCCTTTTCTCTAAACTATACAAGTCCAAAGTCCTTAGCAGCTCCTCACCGGACATTCCTTCCACCAGCTTGGTTGACCTTCTCTGGACACATTGAAGGACCTTCCCATCCTTCTTAAATTGTGGGGTCCAGAACTGCTCACAGTACTCAAGGTGAAGACGCACCAACACTGAATACAGTGGGATAATCGCCTCTTTTGACCGGCTGGTTATGCTGTGTTCGATGCACCCCAGGATGTGGTTTGTCCTCTTGGCTGCCAGGGCTCACTGCTCACTCGTATTGAACTGCTGTCGACCAGCACCCCCAGATCCCTTTCTGCAGGGCTGCTCTCCAGCCACTCCTCTCCCAGTTTCTGCTTGTGCCGGGCATCAGTCCATCCTAGCTGCACAATCCAGCATTTTGACTTGTTAAATTTCACCCCATTAATCACAGCCCAATGCTCCAGGCAATCTGGATTCCTCTGCAAGGCTTCTTGTCCCTCAAGAGAGTCAACAGCAGCTCCCAGTTTGGTATTGTCAGCAAACCTGCTAATGGTGCATTCAACTCCTGCATCCAGATCTTTGATAAATATATCGAACAGAACAGGCTCTAGAACTGAACCCTGAGGAACACTGCTGGTGACTGGTCCCCAGCCAGATGTAGCCCCATTCACTACAATCCTTTGAGCGCTGCCCTTCAGCCAGTTCTTCACCCAGCTCACTGTGAGGAACGTGCTCACAAAATGGAAATTTAGAGACAGATAAATTCTGTGCAGCAAAGGTTTATTAGCAGCATGCTGGGTGCATTCAGGAAGTGGGATGCCTGAAAAACACACCTGCTAAGAGGTGGAGGTTTATTTACAGTAACATTCATTATCAT